ACTGAGGGTTGCGATCCGTTGCCAGTCATGAAAAAAGACAAAAAAAAAAAAAAAAAAAAAAAGAGCTTTCAGTTTCATGTGCCTTTCATACACACTCCACCCCTGAACATCCTCCACCTTCTCGCCCTGCTCTGTGACTAGCAGTGGGGGTGGGAGCCCATCCCTGTGTGCTGTCCCCTTGGCTCTTCTATCCTTCAGCCTCTAACATCAACCAAAGAAGGCACTGGTGGAAAGAGGAGGAGGTTGGAGCACTTCTTCCCCCTCTCCCCTGACACTGCCCGGACATTGGTTCTAGCTGCATTCATCTGTGACTATTAATGCCTGTCAGGTGGCCCCTCTTCTGGGCTCCAGCTCTCACTGGGCTCTGCTAACACTGTTTCTGGCCCCTGCCCTTCACGCCTAGGTGGTGCTGCATTCCATTGTCCTCAGTCTTGGGGTGCCTCAGTGTTCTTTGTTAGTTCCCCTAACCTCACTTCACTTCTGTAAATAGTTCCTTCACAAATCATCTTCAGAATCCCAGCTGAGTGTGCTTTCTATTTATTTCCTGCTGGACCCTGACCAACACAGCTTCCTTTAGTTACCTCCTGTGCATGTATGTACGATGTTGTGGGGAAAACACTAACCTGGGGATTGGTAAATGTGAGTTTTAGTCCCTAATCATCTACTTGATAATTTTTGTGACCAAGGGCAAATGTAAACCAAACTCCAAGTTCACTGACAGTAAGGACTGTGTTTGTTTTGCTCACTACGGTATTCCTCTGGCTGGGAACAGTGCCTACAACATAGTAGATGTTTGATAAATGAATAAATGGATGAGTGAACAAATGAGCCCACTTAATATATTTGCCTTCTATATCCTCATCTGTAAAATGAGAAGTTGGAAATCATTAGACCAGATGACCCCTTCTGGGTATAATGAGACTTATTTACTGAAGAATGAGCAGAATGTGGCTTACTCAGGGATGTACAACCATAATGTCATAGAAATATATGCAACTCTTAACCAGCATGGCTCAGGGTTTGTCGGACAGCTAGTGGCTTTGTCGTTATAGCAACTATACTCCCTGGCTAGTAAGGCATCCAGTGGAGGATTTGCTCTTGTTCCATCAAACGGGGGGCTCCTAGGCTGCTTACAAGGACTGACAGTGAAGCAATTTAGCGAACGTGTTGATGTCACTAACTAGAGAAACAGAACTATTCTGTGTTCACTTTTTTGAAAAGTTATTTGAGAATGTACTTGGTACTAGGTATAATAATGAACAAGAAAGCCAGTTTCTGACCTCATGGAATTTGTAGTCTATGGTGAGAGAGATTCACCAAAAATAGAGTATAGAATAATATATGTAAGTGCTCTGAAGTGCAATAAAGGATAATAAGGAAAAAGAAAATAATAGGAGCTATTACAGAAATAAGGAGGTCAGGGAAGACCTCTGCGAGGAAGTGGCAGTTGAGAGGTATGGTAGTCAATAAAACTATCCACAGATATTCTGGTTCTTCTTCTTCTGGGCACTTGGTAGGACAACAGCATCCTATTCCCCTTAAAGTAAGATGTGGCCATATGATCTGACTTGCCAAGTGTGAGTGCAAGTGACCTCTGTCACTTCTGGGTAGAAGCCTTAAGAACTAGCAGATGACTCGCCATGTTCTTTTTCTGCCTGGTCTAGTGACAAGCAATGTTTTGGGTCTTGGGGGTTCTGTAAGGACAAGAATAAGTGAGGCCTCTAACAACCCACAATGGGCATGTGACATAAGTAGACAATAAAACTTTGTTCCTTTAAGTTACTGAAATTGGGGTTATTTGTTACTGCAGCATAACCTAACCCATCCTGACTGAACAAGGGGTAGAAGAAATCCTAGGTACAAATGTGTTCTGGAAAGTTGCAAAGTGCTATACAAATAAACTCTGAGAGCACGATATTCTGGTCAGCTAGTGCAGTGATAAACAGGCCAATCCACTTCAGGAAACGCTGAGGACAAGACCTCATTGTAGCTCAACAATAACCGATGTCCATAATGATGACTCTGCAGCATCACAAAGAGATGAAGTTATATTTGGCATACTCTGTTTAAAAGAGAAAATGATGTGATACATTTTAGAAAAAAAAAAAAAACACCTCACAAATGGGCCAAAGCTTCAACGATCTGAAATATTCCCCTGTGCTGAATCATTGAGGACTAATGTATACTGTTAATATTAATAATTGCATACATTATAATATTTACTCTTTATTGAACTTTTATTAGGTGTCAAGTATTGTGTCAAGTGCTTAACACACTTTGTCATTTAGTCCTCACTACAACCCTGTGATAAGTCTAACTGTAGAGATCACAGTTAATAAGTGGCAGAATTAGAACTAACATGATGTCCTACTACTATTGTTGTATACTTCATGGTTATTCATCCTTCAGTTTGTTTTCATAATTGTTTCTCATGGCACAAATGGCATATAATTTATTTTAATTTAAAATATGAAGTTTACTTTTTTAAAAAAAATGGCACTGCCTTTAAAAGGATTTATTCACCATCTCACTTACCAGTAATTGAAGTGAAAAGTGAGTTGAATAAATCTTTCATAAGCCCTGATTGCTTAATCAGCAACACCAAGAGGACAATAGGTGTGTAGTGTATCCATGCCTTGAAAAACAAGCACAGGTAGACTCATCTAAAATTTTTTTGTTTCATTATAGATACTCCCAATTTTCTGTTCAAGGCAGAGAATGTGTTGAATGGACAGCTTAGGTAGACAGCAACCAGAGCGTGTGGCAGTTGGTGGTATGACCATCAAAGGAGAAGGGTTTTTACCTGATAGTGGAGAAATAATGGATTGGAAGTGGCTTTAAAGAGCCAGGAGAATGAAACTTCTACTTTTCTGTGCCCTTTGAGACAAGGACTATGAACAGCTTCCAGGGGCCACAGAAGGAGGAAGTATCCAGAGAAGCCTGAAGTAACTTTATCAGCATGTGCTGCCAGCTCCTAGATTCCTTCTAAAATTCTTCCAAGGTGATCTCGGCCTACTGAGCCTTGAGGTTCCTGTTTTGATTTTCAAAAGGCATTGGATTTATTGTGGTAGGTCATTGGACTACCTCCAGGCAAAGCCCTCGTGTATCACTACTGTGATTTCTTTCTCTTCCTTCCTTCCTTCCTTCCTTCCTTCCTTCCTTCCTTCCTTCCTTCCTTACTGGACTACCTCCAGGCAAAGCCCTCGTGTATCACTACTGTGATTTCTTTCTTTTCCTTCCTTCTTTCCTTCCTTCCTTCCTTCCTTCCTTCCTTCCTTCCTTCCTTCCTTCCTTCCTTTCTCCCTCCCTCCATCCCTTTCTTTCTTGCCACTACTTATTTATTATTATGCTTTAGGATTTTGCACTCACATTTTACTATATTCAAACACTGTTAAGATATTTACGTATGTAAAATGAAAATAGAATTTGTATAAAGTTTCCTTGGTAAGCTTTTTTATTTTAAAGCTCTTCTATATTTAAACCATTAAACCCAAGCTTCTATAATGTTCACCAATGAAATTGTATGCCTATGTGATAGGCACCTTTTCAGATAGAAACAAAGGATCCAAAAGGACTAGATTATTGCACTGCACCTTTAGGCTTTACTCCAAACTGAAAACAAATAAATATTTTCACATCAAAATAGTAATGAGAATGATTTATACTACACTGATGGGATAGATGACTCTAAAGTTGTATTCCTCTTCATTTCTCTCCTTCTGCTACCAAGTTATGCAATTTAATGACTAGATCTTAAGACCTTCTGAAAGGTTATTCCTTCTAGATTAGTGACTGTGCTTTTAGTGACATTTCCGCCTCACCAAAAATGAATATCTTTCAGAGAATGTTTGTTATAATTGTTAAATATATTAATAACTGAAATTAAGAAAAACAATGACAATTTTCATCTATTGAACTATACAGTATATTGTTCATTACAAGCTCTCTGTAATTTCATGACATTAGATTTGGACCAAACACAGATTGTAGAGGAATGGGAACTGGCAATCTAGAAAACTTGTCCAGTGGGAGTGCTATGAATAATAATATAGACAACCATTAAGAACACCATATTTAAATTACTTGAATCTCAGGTCTCTCATTAATATATCACAAGGCTACCTTTTTATTGATGTACTTTGGAACTAGTCCTGAAGTCTCAAGATCATGCTTGTCTCCAGTTCTCTTGTCCACATAAATTGGTTTAGGCTTTTTAGATACTCCCATGATGACATCGGCTGCATTTGTATTTATAAAATTTTTTCCGCTCTGTATTCCCATGACAGGATGCTCAGTCCTCAACGGCACAGCAGGCTTTTTGGGCTCATTCCGATCAAACTTTTTTTCTGTTAAACATGACATTTCCTTGTTAATATTAAACTATAAACATTGTTATGTGGTACTATTTATAATATCCAGGTATTTTACCACTAGTATATTTGAGTTTTATTAATAACATATTCAAATATTTAAGGTAAAAAGTTTATCCTTATCCTCAAACTCATTGAGTTATGAATATTAAATAATCACAGCTTTTTACATGTCAATCACACGTCAATAAAGTGGTTAAAAAAAGAAAAAAGTAATCAAAACGCAAAAAAATTAAGCATGACATAATCAATTAATATATTGAAGAATAGTATAAAAATCTAAGGGAGAAGGATAAGTACCCCAAATTATATGCTGGCTAAATGGGACATTTTTATTGATTATTGTGAAAATATTTTCTTATAAAGATTTCAACAATAAATATTCAGCTTTCCCATTTAAAATAAGCTTAAATGAGAAACATTAATCCTGTTTTCTGAGTATTACCAATATTACCAATAATTGCTTCTTCAGATGAAAATTACTATAAAATCGCCAAGTAAGTGAATCAAATCTGATGTATTAAAACACCAAGAATTATAGGTTATGGTTTTCACTAAAACTATTATAAAATAAGATACAAGATTTATGTAATAGCTGTGTAACCAGCACTCAGCTTAGCAAATAAAACATTACCAATCCACTTGAAGTTTCTTATTCACTCCTCCCTGATTGCATCCCACTTCCTAAAGTAAGTACTATTCAAAATTTACCTTATTTCCCTGTATCACATTCTTTTCATTAATAGCAGATGAAATTGGCCATTTGTACACAGCCTCTTCAGTTTGACCATTCCAACTGATCTATTTTGATATAGCCACATCAAATGGTTTGTCAAAATATTAAACCATAAAATAATTATAATTTATTTCCAAGAACTGAAGACAGTGACTATCTTGACAAAACCTCACTCCAGTCTTAACCCCGTCACAATTACTAGGGACTCTGACTTTATTTCTGCATTGTTTGCCCTTTTATGAGTTTATATAACTTTTATTATCAGAAAAAACAATACTTATTATTCAGAGTCTATGGACTGATTAACCTCTTGTTAGGGCTGAATTGTGTCTTCCCAGAATTCATACATTGAAGCCCTGAGCCCCCAGTACCTCAGAATGTGACTGTACTTGGAGACAGGTCTTTAAAGAAGTAGCTGAGTTAAAATACGGTTATAAGAATGGACCCTAATCCAATATGACTGGTGTATTTACAAGAGGAAATTTGAATACACACACACACACACACACACAACACCATGTGAAGATACAGGGAGAAGACAATCATCTACAAGCCAAGGAGAGATGCCTTAGAAGAAACCAAGCCTGCTGACTTCTTGATGTTGAAATCCTATCTTCCAGAACTGTGTCTCATTGGATTGGGCTTTTAAAGCTCTCGCGATACCCTGAATTTCTTAATTATTCTTAAGGCCAGTGAAATTTTGTGTTTGCTTTCACCTCACAATGTTTACAAGAGGAGAGGTAGGTTTCTTCCCTTTTTCTTTATTTGATACATAGGATGTATATAGTTTAGTAATTGTGTTATGTAATATGCTTCACTCTAGAGAGGATACAGAAGGATCCAAATGGTCCTAAGGCATTGAAAGCACTGAATCCTGTTTTAAGATTCTCCAGTGTTCTCAAGTGGTTTTGTGGGTAACAAAATGCCAGGACTTCACTAAAGGAAGATACAAAAGAGACTTTTGAAGTAATGAATTAAGGATGAATGGTGTATTTTCAGACTTGCTTCTTCCATCTTTGCTGATAATGCCCTTACCCTTTGTCATGGGATATGAGTTATGAGAGAGGATCAGGGGCCATAGGATATTGACTTAGGGAGAAGTAGTTTCAGTTTTGTCAAAATGTAAACCACTTCCTGGGCTTGAGTTGGTGCATTTTCTTCCCTGATGCCGGCAGACATAATAAGGCCAACATGTTAAGAGACAGACTCATTCCTCTCTTCAAGTAGTTTCAGTTTTGTCAAAATGTAAACCACTTCCTGGGCTTGAGTTGGTGCATTTTTTTCCCTGATGCCGGCAGACATAATAAGGCCAACATGTTAAGAGACAGACTCATTCCTCTCTTTTCTAGATTGCCCTAAGACATCAGGGAAGACACACCCAGGACGGGAAGAAGCTAATTGATTCTATGCATACTTGTCACAGATCCTTTTTTATCCGCTCTGCATTTTCCTGAGAGCCTTCTTTCCTGATATCAGTATACTTTATGGCCAGGATCAACTACATAATTTTTGAAGCTCGGTACAAAACGAAAACACAGGGCTCCTTGGTGAAAAATTATTAAGAATTTTAGTATGGCAAGAGTGGAGTATTAAACCAAACACGGGGCCCTTCTAAATGCAGGACCCTGGCAACTGCACAGGTAGCAGAGCCATGAAGTCTACCACTCATTCATGAAGGCTCCTCCATTGCATCTAACTCATTTATAGTCCTAATGGTCTTTGAGATCTGTGACAGTGAAAGCCCATATTCAAAAGTGAGCCTGGGGCCAAGCCTGTGGCGCACTCGGGAGAGTGCAGCGCTGGGAGCACAGTGATGCTCCCGCCGCGGGTTCAGATCCTATATATAGGAATGGCCAGTGCACTCACTGGCTGAGCGCGGTGCGGGCAACACCAAGCCAAGGGTTGTGATCCCCTTGCCGGTCACGAAAAGACAAAAAAAAAAAAAAAAAAAAAAAAAGTGAGCCTGGTCGTTGCTTCAACAACTGGTAATAACAGTTGTAATTTTCATCTCTTAGAAAAAAGACCAAGCAGGATTTAGGTGTCAGGCCACCTTGCCCCTTAATCAAACACTGCTTCTGGGGTTTAGAATTCTTCTTTTAATTGTTGTTTATGATTGAAGTCACATGGCTAGGGACTAAGATAGTGAGGCATGTGGTGCTGGAGGTGGGGAATCATTGGACAGTACAAGATGTTGTTCAAGATACTTGCCCCATCAAAAGCCTACGTTGGGGGCAATTTGTTGCTCTCTGTTCTATTTTTCTACTACATTCTCTACTTCCACTTTCTCCTAATCACCCAAATTCTGTTTAATATAAGGTAAAGTTGCTATCACCCGTGCATATTTAATATTCATTGATAATAAAATTATTTTAGTCAAATCACCTGATAACAGTTTTAATATAAAAAACAAAGAGTGATAAAACCTACTAGGTGGTAGAACTTTTTCCTTTGAATGTTTCTTTAGGAAATCCTTTGGAGAAGGCATTGCAACTTTTGCTGGTCCCATAGTTTTCATTGCCGTTTTAAATTTTTGCATGTCATCTTTTACAGCTGCTTTAAAAATTGACATGTACCTAAAATTAAATTTTAAATTTTGTAGCATTTATATTTCTTGTAAAAATATTTAAATTTTAAAATAGACATACATTTCTAATTTATATAAAGCTATATTCACACAGAGAAGAAAAGCCATAAAGCACAATTATCTGGGCCCTGTTCATCAGGCTTAGGTTGGCTAGATGGAAGCTCTGTCCTAAGAAAGAGGTGCCAGGGTAAAGGTGTTCATAGTATTTCCTTATTATCCTTTAAACATCCGTAGCATTGGCAGCAATGCTGCCTCTCATTCCTGATATTAGTAATTTGTATCCTCTCTCCCTCTCTTTCTCTTTGCTGATCAGTCTGGCTAGGGGTTTATTAATTTTATTGATCTTCTCAAAGAACCAGAATTTCATTGATTTTCTCTACTGTTCATATGTTTTCCATTTCAGTGTTTTCTACACTGATCTTTATTATTTCTTCTATTTACTTTGGGTCTAATTTACTTTTCTTTTTTTCAGTTTCTTAAGTATAAATTTAGTTATTTGATTTTAAACCTTTATACTTTTCTAATATAAGTGTTTACATCTTTAAAATTCCCTCTAAGCACTGATTTAGCTGCATCCCACAAATTTTTATACGCCATGTTTCATTCTGATTCAGCCCAAAATACCTTTTAAATTCCTTTCTGATATCTTCTTTGAATTAGAAGTTCGTTTAGACATGTTTGTTTAGTTTTCATATATTTGAGATTTTCCAAATATCTTTCTAATTGATTTCTAGTTTATTTCCATTGTGGTTAGAGAATATACTTTGTATGATTTCAATCCTTTTAAATTTTCTGACACTTGTTTTATGGCACAAAGTGTGGTTACTCTTGGTAAATGTTGTGTACACACTTGAAAGGAAACTGTATTCTGCTGCTGTTTTCTGGAGTGTTCTATAAGTGCAAATTACATCAAACTGGTTGATAGTGTTCTCAAGTATTTTATATCCTTATTGATTTGTGTCTACTTATTCTATTAATTATTCAAAGACAGATGCTGAAATCTCTGACTATAATTGTGGATTTGTCTATTCTTTTAATTAAAAGTTTTTACTTTATATATTTTTAAGTTCTGTTAGTAGGTGCACAGCATTTACAATTATTTTATCTTCTTGAAAAACTGGCTACTTCTCATTATAATGCTTTTATTCCTTTTAAAATTCTGTACTCTAAAATCTACTCTGTCTGGTATTACTGTAGCCACTCCAGCATCTTCTGATTTGTGATAATATACTTTTTTCCATTCTTGAAATTTTTACTTGTCTGTGTCTTTATTTTTAAAGAGGTTTTCTGATGGACAACATAGAAATTTTATCCAATCAACAATCACTTTTATATGATATGTTTAGACCATTCACATTTAGTGTGATTTTAAAAATATGTTTGTATTTTAATTTTCCATCCTATTTGTTTTGTATATATCCCGTTGCTCATTCTTTGTTTTTTATCCTGCTTTGTTTTTTTGTTTTTTTGTTTTGTTTTGTTTTGTTTTGTACAAACACTAGATTAACAGTATACACGTTTATCTTATCATGGCCTACCTCTAAGTAATATTATAACACTTCACATATAGTATAAGAACCTTAAAGAAGAATACTTGCATTCACTCCCACCTTTGTTCTAGTGTTGTAACATATTTTATTTACTTCTCTATGTATTATAAAACCCATACTTCATTGTGATTATTTTCCCTTTATATAGCCAACTATATTTTCATAAGATTTGAAAAAATCTTTAATAGTTTCTCATATATTTACCATTTCCAGTATTCTTCAATACATTGTATAAATCCTAATTTCCAGCTGGTACCATTCCTCCTGCATAAAGAGCTTTTTAAATTTTATGCCTTCTATTGTTTCCAATGAGAAATTTTCTGTGCTTCTTTCTTCCTCTGTATGTAATACTTCTTTTTCCTTTGGCTGCTTTTTAAGATTTTTTTTATTAAGAATTTTAATATATTTGATTATAATGCCCCTTTGTATGTTTTCTTCATGATTTTTTTTTTCTGCTTGGAGTTCATTTTTATTCTCTGGTTTGTGTATTTAGAGATTTCATCAAATTTGACAAATTTTTAATTTTTATTCAAATATTTCTTCTGTTTCTCATCTCTTTCCTCCTCTTCTGTGATTCCAGTTATACTTATATTAGGCTGCTTGATGTTGTCCACAGTTCACTGATTCTGTTTTTCTCTTCAGTCTTTTTTCTCTGTGTTTCATTTTGTTTTGATCTATTACCGTGTCTTCAAATTCACCTATATTTTCTTCATCAGTGTCTTAGCTGCTATTAATACCATACAGTGTACTATTTTCATTGTGGACATGGTATTATTTAAGTTTAGAAGTTAAATTATGTATTTCCTCCCTCCATTTCTCTTCATATCTTCATCAAGCTTTGCTCTAGTTTTTTGAACACATGATAAATATTTAAAAGAGCTGTTTTAGCATGGAGCTGGCAAAAAAACAGACATATAGATCAATGCAACAGAATAGAGAGCCCAGAAACAACTAGAGAGCCCACACATTTATAACCAACTGATTTTTGAAAAAGATGCCAAGAATATATACTGGGAAAAGGACAGCCTGTTCAATAGATGATGCTGGGAAAACTGGGAGTATCCACATGCAGAAGATTGAAACTAGACCCCTATATCTTACTATACACAAAAATCAACTCAAAAAGGAATTAAAGACATACATTTAAGACCCCAAACTATGAAACCACTAGGAAAAAAAACACATAGGGAAAGTGCTACATGAAATTGGACTGGGCAATGCTTAAAAGGAATTAAAGACATACATTTAAGACCCCAAACTATTAAACCACTAGGAAAAAAAACACATAGGGAAAGTGCTACATGAAATTGGACTGGGCAATGCTTTTTTGGACAAGACTACAAAGACACAGGCAACAAAAGCAAAAACAGGCTTACGGGATTACATCAAATTAAAAAGCTTCTGCACAGCAAACGATAAAATCAACAAAGCAAAGAGACAACCTACAGAATGGAAGAAAGTATTTGCAAATTATGCATCTGGCAAGAAGCTAATACCCAGAATATATAAGAAACTCAAACAATGCAACAGCAAGAAACCACATAACCCAATTAATAAAGGGGCAAAGGACCTGAACAGACATTTCTCAAATGAAGACATACAAATGGCCAAGAGGTATATGGAAACATGCTCAACATCACTAACCAGCAGGGAAATACAAATTAAAACCACAGTGAGATATCATCTCACACCAGTTAGGATGGCTATTATTAAAAAGCCAGAACATAAGTAATGCTGGTGAGGGTGCAGAGAAAAGGGGACTCTCATACATTGTTTGTGGAAATATGAATTAATACAGCCATTACAGAAAACAGTATGGAGAGATTCCTCAAAAAACTGAAAGTAGAACTATCTTATGACCCAGCAATCCCAATTCTGGGTATATACCCAAAGGAAATGAAATTAATATATCAAAAAAACCCATCATCTTCTACATGCACTACCATGTTAATTGTGGTACTATTTACAATAGCCAAAAGATTGAATCACCTTAAATGTCCATCAATGGATGAATGTATTTTTAAAAACTGCGGTATATATACACATGAAATACTATTTGGCTGTAAAAAAAATAAAATTCTGTCATTTGCAGCAACATGGGTGGAACTGGAGACCATCACGTTAAGTGAAGTAAGTCAGGCACAGAAACACAAATATTCCATGATCTCACTCATACGTGAAATCTTAAAAAAAAAAAAAAAATTGATTCTCTTAGAAGTAGAGTGGAATAATGGTTACCAGGCTGGAAGGGAAGGAGGGCAGGGTGAGGGGAAGAGGTGGATTAACAAATACAAATTTACAGGTAGATAGGAAGAATAAGTTCTGTTGTTCTAGGCTGACTAAAGCTAATTATGTTGTATATTTGTAAACAACTAGAAAAGAGGGTCTTGACCATAATCATCACAAAGAAAAGACAAATTTTTAGGTGATGGATGTGCTCTCTATTCTAAGTGAATCATTGTATAATACATGAATGTATTGAAACAACACACTGTATCCCACAAATGTGTACAATTAAAAATAAATTTTAAAATAAAGTAAAACAGCTGTTTTAATGTCCTTGTCTACTAATTCTCTCACCTGTGTCATTTCTGCGTCTGTTTGTGTTGACTGATTTTTCTCTTGGTTATGCATTCATATATATAAATTGTATAAAATACATTTTATAGCTTCTTTGCATGCTTGGTAATTTTTGACTGAATGTCAAACATTGTGAATTTTACATTGTTGGTTGCTAAATTTTTCTTTTCTTTATCTTTCTTTTTTTGCAGGGAAGGGTATTCTTTAAATTTTTGTTTAGCTTTATTCTGGGATGCTGGTATGTCAGTTGGAAACAGTGTGATCACTTATGTCTTCTTCATAAGTTGTAGGGTAGATCCTGAAAAATTTTTAGGATCTAAACTTTTAGTCTAGTTCTAATGTGGCCCCACTACTGAGGCAATATACTTCTGAATGCACTACTCAATGCTCTGTTTATTAGGTGGTGTCTCTACTCTGGCTGGTGGGAGCACAAACTTTTTCTGGCCCTGCTGCTTTCTGTTGGTTCTTTCTTTGGCCTTGGTGGTTTCATTACACACATGCACTATCAATCAAAGACTTCAAAGAAATTCTTCAGCAGATTTCAACACTGTGCACTCTCTTGCTCTCTCTCTTCTCCCTCTCTCTATGTAGTTTTCTCCTCTCTGGTACATTGTGCTGTGAATTCTAGCTGCTTTAGTCTTCCCAAACTCTGAACTCTGTCTCCTTAACTTAGGCATTTTTTAAATTCCCCCTCCTGAAACTTGGCCTGGAAATTCTCTCCGGAAAGTACACTGGAGCAATTGTAAGGCTCACCTTATTCAATTCCCTTCTTTTAGGGGTGATTGCTCTGTGCTCCCTATTGTCCAGTGTCTAAAAACCATGGTTTCATAACTTTTTTTTCCAGGTGTTCTTGTTGTTT